CTAGCTGTGGAATTTGGACTTTTCCCTCCTACACTGTTCCAAAACCTGGGCTCTTGTATCCCGCAACACTCCTGTTTCAATATCATCCAGACAATGCATTGTGCATCTTTCTCCACGAGCTTTTTCCAACCAGGAACATTTTTCAGTGTTAAATGACATATGTGATACATGTATTGAGCACAGACTCTAGCTTATACTGACTGATCCTGATTGTCCTCAGCTTACGTCTCAATGGCATTATAGATTAATGTACATTTTTGTTCTTCAGTTCTGTGAGGATGAGACACTTTGATGTGATTGGTCACTCTTGGCTCAAGACAAAAAATACACATAGTTGTTTTGTTTATTGTTTAATCAGATTGTGTTTACCTAATATTAAGACTTAGATTTAGATTAGATCGGAGCAATTAATGCAGAGATACAAATAACTTCAAAGGGTTCACAAAATTCTCACAACTGCATAGTTTCCTCTATTGATAGCTGGGTAATGCACATTACTTTCGCCTCTCTTTGGCTGACCCTTTTCCATGTTGGGTTTTGACTGATAACAATGCTGATTAGTGGTCTTTCAGCTAGGCCCTAAAGCATCTTTAGTGATTGTTAATTCTACCTTCAGTTCTTTTACTTCAGGTAGACCAGACTTGATTTCTTTATTTTCATTCGTTGGACTTTTAAAAAAATGTTGGCTTTTACAGAGCTAAGGCTATATATCATTAGATATGTCCTCCGAATCCTCTTTGTTGAATTAGTCTATCTTGAACGGACACCTGTTTCTGTCTTCAAATTGTTCTCTGTCTCATTGCTCACTGCATCACTTAAAGCGGATCTGCAACACTAGTTTTTTATTTCTATTATGTAGTTTAAACTAAGAAGACTGGTGCTCTGTCACTGAGCCCTTGGGATGCATTTATTAACTCCTGATTCAATTCTCTGGCATTTGTCTTTATCGTTAGTCAGATCTGACATTCTCCTCATTTCAGGCAGGGACACATTATCTTTTCTTCTAAGTAACTCCTAAGACCAGGATTGATGGTTTTTATTAGTACATGCACCACTTCCTGCTGCTCTTTCCGAAAGTCCACTTTCAATCTGGCGTGTCAAGCTTGTAAAACATAGTATCTCACTCTGACTGGTATTACCAGTTTGATCAAAGATTTTGACATTTCTTTTACGAGTGAATACACTTGAGCAGACTTCATCTCATTTCACAGTTACTGTATTTGATTTTTTTTAAATGCGGTGATGCCATTGCCTCCATTTTCTTTAAATACTTTTGTTCTGTTTCAATTCCCTCCTTACTGAGAACTGTCAGTGACTCACGCTGGTTAATCACATTTTTATTTGCAACAAAACAGACATTGCTAGATCCTCTAGTTCACTTTCAATTACTTTCATGTAGATAATGATGTACTTTACGGAAGCTTATTAGCGCCATGGGGGAAAATATTTTTGCGTTTCTACGAGATAAGTGTTGTGTTTAAACGAGAGCCCTGTGGCGTTTGTATGAGATTGCATTAAAACGCAAGAATTTGTTAACAATACTGTTATTGGTGGTCAGATGTTGAAGCTCTAAGCTCAAAAACCCTCAAAAATCTTTTAGCCTATGTATATGTCAGATACATTTACAGTCAATTTGGAATAACAAATCAAATGCAGAAAATGTGTCACTTGAAAGGAGAAGGAACTTTATTTCTGTGTCCGTATGCACAGACATGACTGTAAAGAGATGGGGGAATGCCAAACAAAAAGAAAAACGCTACACAACCCATTATACAGTTTGTACATTGTTGGCTTACTGTTTAGTGTTACCAACAATAACAATAACAGTAAGCCAACGGTAGGT